TGCATGCACTCTACCAACTCATGTGTGGTACTGTAAACATAGCCAAATACACATGCTGGAGAGGTCATAGATACTAGAGAAAAATCTATGTGTGCCACATCCCTGGACAAATGTGATTTCTTACTGTGTGCTAAATATGTATCCTTGTATTTACAGACAAGTATACCTCTCTCCACTCATCAAAGAAGCTTCTTTTTGCAACAGATAGAGACTATTCAAGTTCTACAGCTGGCCAAACACAGAGAATAAGTGTCTGTGAGATACCCAGCCCTAAGTGATACATCAATGAAACCTCTACACCTAAGGCTCATAGAACATAGAAGAACAGAAGGTAGAGTGAATACTAATGCAGCTCTCAACTCTCACCAACGAAGCCTTCTCATGTAACAGAGGGCGGTTTATTGTGTTAGTATGGCTCCATAGCTTCTATCTATTCAATTACAAAAGGTATATTCATAACTATCATTTATGTGATGTTCACATTGCTTCTGACTTGTTCAATGAGCCCCTGCAAGCCGTCTTCATTGGAGTTTTTATGTGAGTTCAGCATTCTTTGAGCTCTTCTCTGTTTTCTGGTACAAGCTGCTCTATGGCTCATCTTTTCTTGCTCTAGTCTTAGAATAGGGATTTTTCCAAGCAATCATGGTTTCTTATAGTAAATAATAATGTTTTAGGGGGCCAGAGGGATGGCTCAGCAGTTAAGAGCACTGGCTGCTCTTGCAGAAGACCTGGGTTTGTTTCCCAGCACCCACATGGAAGCTATCAGCTGTCAGTAACTCTAGTGCTGGGGGATTTGCCACCCTCTTCTGATTTCTGAGGGCACAGCACGACATGGGTGCACTTACATATATGCATAAAATGCACTCATACACATAAAAATAACAAATAAAATATTAAATTTTTTTTTAATAAATAAGATCTGGGGTCATTGAGATGGCTCAGCAGGTAAAGGCACTTACAGCCAAACCTGTGGATCTGAGTTCAATCCCTGGAACTCACATGGTGGACAAAGAGGACCAACTCCACAAGCTGTCCTGTGCCTTCCACATGCAGGCAATAGTGTGTACCTTCTGACTCCATCCTAAAATAGATAGGCAGATAGATAGACAGATAAACAGATGAACAAACAAATTAGAGACCCTATTGTTGGACAAACCCGGAGAATGTATTTATACTATACTTACCTATAAATTTATTTGTATTGAAAAACTGTGCGTTCACACCAATACCTCCAAATCCATTCTCACATCAAAACACTTATTTTAATTTTCTCCTTTTCCACATTTAAAATATATTTTATTTTATTTTATTTTATTTATTTTTGTCTTTTTTGAGACAGGGTCTCCCTGTAGCCACAGCTGGCCTGGAACTCACTATGTAGACCAAGCTGGCCTCGAACTCACAGAGATCCACCTGCCTCTTCCTCTGAAGTGCTGGGATTAAAGGTGTACACCACCATGCCCGGCCTTATTTTTATTATTTTTAATTGTGTGTGTGTGTGTGTGTGTGTGTGTGTACATGCTCATGATTGCAGGTGCCCTTGGGGGTCAAAGGCATTGGATACCCTGGAGCTGGAGTCACAGGTGGCTGCGAGCCAGCCAACATGTGTGTTGGGAACCAAATTTAGATCCTCTGCAAGAGCAGTAACACTCTTAACCATTGAACCATTTCTCCAGCTTCCTCTTCCATGTTTTCCTTTCTCTGACAATGATGAATTTGGCATTCTTAAAATATATCCTTATTCGATGCTATTTGCATGTAACCAATATCCCAGCACTGCCTTACCATTTAATAGATGCCCTTCACTCATACTCCCCAACCCCTCAGTGGGCAACAGGCTGCTCCTTCTTCCATTACTGAGGTGCTGTCTTTATTATGTCACATCTCTGAAATGCAATGTTGAACCATTGTCCTGATAGGAAGAAGGGCAGATTTGTGTTTGGCTGATTTTGTTTTTTGAGACAGGGTCTCTCTATGCTGCTCAGGCTGGTTGAAACTCCTTTTTGTTGTTGTTGCTGTTGCTTTTTAGTTTTGTCTTTTTGAGACAGGGTCTTACTCTGTGGCCCAGGTTAGCTTTGAACTCTCAGTAATACTTGAGCCTCCCAGTGCTAACCCATCAAGCCTGGCTTGTCCTGGAATCACTATGTAGCTAAGGCTGGCCTTGAACTCCTCCTGCCTTTTCCTCTTGAGTGCTGGGATTACGACTATGAACCACCACACCTGGCACAAATTTTTTATTCTTGTTTACTTCCACATTTCCAACACCTAGAATAAAAGGCACAGGGAGTAGAGTGTGGTGGACGTTAGCAGGAGTCAGCTGAATGAAATCTCTTCCTCATTGTTTAATCCCTCCATGTTGAACACCCTAATATCTTTTCCTTGTTCTTCAGTTTCACATGATTCCAGTTCCATGTCTTGAAGAAGCCCAGGTCATATTTCAAGGCTACGTAAATGTAGCACAGAGACCAGTCATAGGAAATGTGGGAGACTTTTCATGGGGAGATGACACAAATGGCTCTATTCATCCTAGATGGGTGAATAGATGAAAGCAACAATTACATTCTACAAATATATAAAACTATCAAACTATCTTTAAAAACTGAAGAGAGAAAATAATGTTTTCTGGACATTTCATTTTCCTGTTGTTTCTTAACTATCCAAATTATTATTAATACAATTAAGTGGACAAACAAATTTCTACCCAATCTAGGAACAAAACAAAAGTTAGTATTAGGGCTGGGGGTGGTGGCACATGCCTTTAATCCCAGCCCTCTGGAGGCAGAGGCACAAGGATCTCTGTGAGTTCAAGGCCAGCCTGGTGTACATAGCGGGTTCAAGGCCAGCTGGAGCTACAGGAAGACCCTGCCCCAAAAAGACAAAAAAAAAAAAAAAAAAAAAAAAAAGTATTAATGTTTGATTATTTCCAAAAGGAATTCAATCCCTATGTTGTTAGATGACATTTCATATCAATGGAGATCTTCATGCGACAGTAATTATAACTAAGCTCTCTGCTCGGCTCTTGCGCTTGTATTTAGTAGGATCATTTTAAAAGGATCTTATTAAAGGTTGTTAAATAGAATTAATAAAACTGCTATCAGCAGTGAGTTCCTACCTACTTTTAACTTAATATTAATATTTTAATTAATTCTGTTTTAAAATATTAGGTTCATGTTGCTCCTTCTTGATTTATTTCTAATATGTTGATTTTCTAGAAGGGAAATTAAATATTAAATTCTACAATATCCTCTTCTCGCAGACCCAATATACATGGCACCCTCTCCAAAATCCATGTTTATATACATATATATGATACTATTTACATAGTCCTAAATATTATTTTCTTGTACAAGATTTTGTTTTTCCTAGAGCCAGTAACTGAATGGTTGTCTTTTTAGTTTTTTGTGTAAATGCTGTCAATTCTGGTGAGATGGCTCAGTAGGTAAGAGCTGTTTCTTCCAGAGGACCTGAGTTTGGGTCTCAGCACCCACATCAGGCAGCTCACAACCACCTATAATGCTAGTTCTAGGAGGATCTGATACCCTGTTCTGACCTCTGTGGGCAACTGCACTGACTGGCACTGATTAACACATACCTTCACATAGAGACACACATACACATAATTAAAAATAAATTTTTAAGTGCTGTTAGTTTGACTCCTAAACTCCAGGTAAAATATCTAAATCTCCCCCATAAAACTCCAAAGGGAGCTGGAATTTTGTCGGTTTTCATCCTTGAAGTTAATCTGGGCAGATTTCTGTTTATGCCTCTGCATAGCTGGGCCCTTTTAGCATCAACTAAAGTCTACTGTTTTCTTGCTTGATATTTATGGTATTTCCTAATTGTTTCCTGGCTTGTTTCCTCATTTTCGTGGATCACACCTCCATCATGTTCCTGAGAAAGGAAACATTTCTTGTTTGTTTTGGAATTTTGCTTTGTTGTTGATTGTTGAAGATTTAACTTGACTGAAACTTTTATTGTGTGAACACACCTGGTTGATAGTTGGCTGGGCATGGAAGACTAGATGGGAAGTATTTTCCTTCGGAATATTGAGTAGTACTTTATTTGCTCCCTGTGTTCTAATGTTGCCAGTGAACAATCTAAAGTTTTCTTTTTAAAAGTTTTTGCTAGGTGTGGTGGCGCATGCCTTTAATCCCAGCACTCCAGAAGCAGAGACAGGCAATTCTGCTCTACATAGCAAGTTCTGGTCCAGCCGGGGATACCTAGAGAAGCTGCCTCAAAATTAAGTAGGGGATGGCGAGATGGTTCGGCAGTTAAGAGCACTGTTCTTGCAGAAGACCCAGGTTTGAATCCCGCATTAACATGGCAGTGAACAACTGTTCATCCATAACTCCAGTTCCAGGGGATCCCACGCCCTTTTCTGTCCTCCGTGGGCACTGCCCGACACGGGTGCACTTACACACATGCAGGCATAACTCTCATACACAAGGCCAGGCGTAGGGGCACACGCCTTTAGTCCCAGCACTCGGGAGGCAGAGGCAGGCAGATCTCTGAGATTGGGGCCAGCCTGGTCTACCTACATAGCGATAGTTCCAGGACAGCCGGGGCTACAGGGAGACGTGTGTGTGTGTGTGTGTGTGTGTGCGCGCGCGCGCGCGTATCTGTAGGAGTCGGTTTTCTTTCACTATGGGAGTCCTGAGGAATTGAACTCAGGTCATCTGGCTTGGCAGCAAATGCCTTTTACTTGCTGAGCCATTTCCCCTGCCCAATCTGAAGCTTTTTGATTCCAGAATCTATAATCTTGAAGTGTGAGATTATCTCCTCATCCGTAAGTGAAGAAAGTCCATAATGCCTTGACGTGGATGTATTCATCTTGGTGCTAGGTGGAACCTTGGAAATTCATATCTTTAACTTCTGGAGAACTTTCCAAAATTACTTAGCATTACTTTTCTTTCCTTTGTCTGCTTCTCTCCAGATCTGGACTGACACCCGGCTATAGCCAGGCGCGTGCGCAGAGTGCGCGACGTGGGCGCGAGCCGGCTGCGCATGCGCAAGCGGCTCCCTCCTTCAGCTCGTTCTTCCCGCTACAGCCGGGCTGAATGGCCGACCCCGACGCCTCGGGTGTGGAGGAGCTGGCCGCTGGGCGCCGCGAAGCGCGGTGACTCGCCCTCCTCCAGCCTGATCCGCTCGGCTGCGGTTCCCGTGGAAAGAGCGGGCCTGTGAGGGGAGCGGCGACCCCGCCAGCCCGAGCTCTTTCCCTGGCGGAGGCGGCTTCTTCCCTGGGACAATATGTTCAAGAGAATGGCGGAATTTGGGCCTGACTCCGGCGGGAGAGTGAAGGTCAGTGCGTGGCTCCTCGCGGAGTCTCCATCCCGACTGGGCGCGCGCGGCCGGCCTCCGAGCGGAAGCTCCGCGCTCTTTGCACCCGACGTCCCCTAGTCGCCGCTGCCTCCAGAACACAAACGTTCCAGGCCTGCGCGGGGACCTGGGGCAGGAAGTGCCCGCCCAGGCCCTGGTAACCGGGGCGCCACCCACCTGGGGAGAGTGGTCGGCAGTACCTCCAGTGTGTACCGGTCCGGGTTGGAACAGTGACTGCCGCGCCTACCTGGGAAACGACTACTGTCCTGGCGTAGATTTGCCAGTCCCCAAAGCTCTCAGATACTAATCAGGTCATAAAACGCGTGTCGCTCCTATAGGGAGCGTCTAGCTTAAGTATTTAGTGAACGTTGTCGTAGAGCCTTAACTTAATGGTGGGACACTGTGACTCCTATTTCCCTCCCACCTTTATTTTTGCATTTTACATTTGTTTATCAATGGAGGGCGACTGGCGTCGGAGGACAACTTGTTGGAGTCTTTTCCTTCCACTGTGTGGGTTCTGGGGATCGAACTCAGGCTGCCAGCCATCTCACCAGCCCTCCCAGGCTTTCTACATCCTTGGTAGGTTAATTTTTAAGGCAGGATCAACTGGTTCCTGATCCTTTTTTCTTTTTTAAAAAACCCCTTCTGATTATAAATTCATAGGAATTTTTTTCTTTCAAACGAAATCATGCACATTTACACCAGTCTACTTAAGTAGAATTTTTTTAGAGTTTTTATCCACGTCATGTTATTTTTACATTATTTTAATCGATGTCAATGCAGCAGTCACTTTTAATATCGTTTGTAAATTGAGAATTCCTCAAAAACCTAAGCATTACTGAAATTTAATAGAAATGTCAGGTGAGAGTTCATTAGTATAAGACTTCATAAACATACATTTGCCTGAGTGTTTAGGATAGGGAACTATTACAAGGAGAGGGTTAAAATTAGAGCTTTTCTCTACTTGCATCTTGTTAGTTTCTAGACATTTGTAAAGGAAAATTTGAGAACGTTAAACCTGTAGTCCTCAAATTATTTTCTGAAAAAAGTCATGTAAAAATTTTAAATTGGGATTTTTTTTTTTTGATTGCTACTACTATTATGGGCATCTTGTAACAATTTAGATAAATCTCATCCAGGAAGAAAATCTGTTGATAAGTGAGCCCCCTTTCACTGTTGATGAACTAGCATATTCCTAGCACCTCTCCAGGATGTTTATTGTGTGCTCACCAGGTCTGCATCTTTATATTCATCAGGCCTGGAACTTGAGGCCATATCTGTGGTGTCCACAAGTGTCTTCAGTAGTTCTTACCATGATTATTCACTTCACATAAAACATGTTTAGCAAGGCTAGAGAGATAGGTCAGCGGTTAAGAGCACTGGTTGCTCTTAAAAAGGACCGGGGTTCCATTCCCAGCACCAACATGATGATTCACAACTGTACTCCAGTTCCAGGGGATCTGACACCCTCTTCTGACCTCCATGGGCATTACATGATACAGTACACTTACACACATGTAGGCAGTACACTCATACACAAAAATGTAATAAATAAAACATTTTTTTAAGAAACCTGCTTACCAGCCAGGTGTGGTAGCACATACCTTTAGTCCCAGCACTCTGGAGGCAGAAGCAGACTGCTCTCTGTGAGTTTGAGGCCAGCCTGGTCTACATAGTGAATTCCAGGCCATCTGGGGCTACCAGAAGACCCTGTCTCAAAAAGACCAAAAAAAAAAAATCCTCCTGGTTTATTTTTTTAGTATTTTATTTATTTTTATTTTAAATGTATGAGTGTATTGCCTGCATGTATGAAAGTGCATCTGTGTCATGCATTGCCCAAGGAGGTCAGAAGAGGGCACCAGATCCCCAAGAACTGGAGTTATGGGCAGATATTAGCTACCATGTGGGTGCTGAGATTCAAACCCGGGTCCTCTGGAAGAGCAGTCCATGCTCTTAACCACTGAGCCTTCTCTCCAGCCCCTTGAACCCTACCTCTTGAAATGTTGAGTCTACTTAGTGTCTGCTGGTATCAACCTTATGCTTTTCCAGGGGCATCTAGGCTATGGGGGACTTAGAACAGACAAGCCATTAACAGTGTGTACATACTAAGCTTTTAGTAGCATGTATGTGCAGATTCCTTTCTACTATATAGGTTACAAGTGTGTTTTTGTAATACAGAATATACATTGCCCCTACTTGTCCCTTCTGTGCTCTGTCAGTTTCCATCCATGGTCATTTGGCTCCATTGCTATAGGCTTGAGGCAAGGCTGAACTAGGCAGAATAAGGCTGCTTATCTCATGGTGGCTGGGAAGGAGAGAAAGGGCAGGGCCAAGAGCAAGACCCTGACCCAGTGACCTACTTCCTCCAGCTAGCTCCACCTTCTAATAGGCAATTCACCTATGAGCTCATCTATGTGTTAATTCATTGATAAGATTAGTACCCTCATGATCCAATTACCTCTCAGTGCCACCAGGGGATCAAGCTTTCAAGAAGCCTTTGGGGGGATACTTCACATCCAAACTACAGTGCACATAATAATGGTAAGGATAATGGACAATGTTTGCCTTCTTTTTTAATTTTTTTATTATTTTTATTTTATGTGTATGAGTGTATTGCCTGCATGTATCCGAGTACATATGTGCCCTGCAATACCCAAGGTCAGAAGAGGGTGTCAGATCCCCCGGAACTGACTTACAGACCATGTGGGTGCTGGGTATTGAACCCAGGTCCTCTACCAGAGCTCTTAGCTGCTGAGCCATCTCTCCAGCCCCATGTTTGCCTTTTTTTTTTTTTTTGAGACAGGATCCCCTGGAACTCATTTTGTTGACTAGGCTGGCCTGGAACTCACAGGGATGCTTCTGCCTGCTTCTGCCTCCCAAGTGCTGGGATTAAAGGCGTGTGCCACCACACCCAGCCCATGTTTGCCTTCTTATACTGAAAATTCTCTCAAACTGTCTTTGATGTCTGTGCTGTGTTTTGGCACATACTGCCATAGGCTAACTAAAAGGCCTTTTCCATCAATTGATGCCAGTCAAATTGGCAGTTTGTGTGTTGAGTGGTCTAGCTTTCAGGTTTGTAAGGGTCTTTTGTGTTTCTTTAACAAAAATTTCACATGCTTTAGATGGTGTTTTAATAAAAAATGTTTCAGGCCAGCAAGATGGCTCAGCAGGTAAAGGCTCGTGTCACCAAGCTTGACAACCTGGGTTTGATCCTCAGGTAGAAGGAGAGAACCAACTCCTAAAACTTATCTTCTGACTCCCACACACACATACAAAATAATTCATCTATTATTGAATTGTGAGAACATGGGTTTTTTTGTTGGTGGTGGTGTGTTTTTGGTTTTTTGGGGACACACTGCCACACCCAGTCTAAGAATCCATGTTTTAATTAAACTCAAGTTGTTAGACTGCCATGTCTTAAAACAAGCTATCAGATCTCTGTTTAGATAATGGTAAAATATTCACTGACTGTTAAATCATTTTTCTTTTAGGGGATTACTATCGTTAAACCAATAGTTTATGGTAATGTTGCCCGATATTTTGGGAAGAAAAGAGAAGAAGATGGGCACACCCACCAGTGGACAGTGTATGTAAAACCATATAGAAATGAGGTAGGTATTTGTTTTTCTGTAACTTTTTTTTTAAGTACAGTTTGTTTGAAAATAAATCATAAAATTCTGTATAGTGACTGAGTATGAATTAGACCCATTATAATTCCCCTCCCTCATTTTGAAAGAATAAAATGAGAATTCTCATCTTCATATAATTAGCAGAAATAAGATGGTCAGATTATGGAAGACAGGTCTCCTGTATGATCTGATTACTGGTAATTTTGCTTTGCTCCTGAGTCTCTGATTCCTTGAAGACAGTCAGTACATAGTAGATATTTAGCATATGCTTACTGAATTAATAGATTATTTGACTTATATGTAACTATAATAATGTTATTATATCTAAAACATAGAAACAACCCAAATATCTCTGTCAATAAATGAATAAATAAAATGTTTATCCATACAATGACATATTATTAAGAAGAAAGTATTGGCTGGATGTGGTGGTGCAGGCCATTAATCCCAGCATTCAGAGGCAGAGGAAGGTAGATGGAGCTCTGTGAGATCAAGGCCAGGGAAATTGGAAGCGTTATGCTTAATGAAAGAAGGCAGACATTACATGCTGTATACCATTCATAAGAAATGTCTAGAAAACAGTGTTTTATGGGTTAAGAGGAAAGCCAGGAGTAGGTCAAGAGGTGTGGAGTTTTCTTTCTGGGTATAAGAAATTCTGAAATTGATTACAGTGATGACTGACTGCTCTGAATGCACTCAAGACCATTGGATTCTGTATTTTACATGGTCCCAGCCTAACAGTGAGTGCCTGAAGGCAAGGCTCTGCTTTATTACCATTGTAAACAGCAAAGCCCTTAACAGTGTAACAGAAGACAAAAGCAGCTCTTGATAACATTGCAATATAATCCTGACTTTGTTTTTAAAATATATGCAGACATGAGCACATTTGAAATCACTAAAAACTGGGGGGCCACGGAGAGGGCTCAGAGGATAGAGATGCTTGCCTCCAAGCCTGAGACCTGAGGTCAGTCCCCAGAACCCACATGGCGAAAGGAAAGAACCAACTCCCACAAGTTATCCTCTGACTTCGACCTCTAAATATGCACTGTAGCATGGATATCCCCTATACACTCACTCTCTCTCTCTCTCTCTCTCTCTCTCTCTCTCTCTCTCTCTAAGTAAATATAAAAAACTTTTCAAAAAAGAAATTACTAAAAACAAATATGGTAGTAAATATTACTGTTAGAGTGTAACTTACTCTATTTTGCATTTTTATTTACTATAATGAATTATATATATATATTTGCTTTATCTTTAAGATGGAATCCCATCTAGCCCAGGCTAGCCTTAAATTTACCATCCCTTTGCCTTATCCTCCCAAGTCCTAGGATTACAGGTGTGTACCACCATGCTTGGCTTATAAAATGTATTTTTACAATATTGATGTCCTGGCAGAAGCCCTTTTAGGTACTAGAACTAATAAGGACCCTTTTCCATTTCAAAATCAAATTAAGTGAAGGAATCCGGGCGTGGTGGCACACACATTTAATCCCAGCACTCAGGAGGCAGAAGCAGGCAGATCTGTCTGAGATCAAGTCCAGCCTGGTCTACATAGGGAGTTCCAGGCCAGCCAGGGCTACACAGTGAGACCCTATTTCAAAAACAAAGGAATCTTTTGTTTCTAATGGAAATTCAAAATCTTTTTTTTCTAATGGAAATTCAGAATTAATTGAGAATATTATTATTGAAGCCTATAAAAGAATTTGAAACAGGGTACAATAATACATGCCTGAGACTGGAAGATGGCAAGTTCCAGGCCAGCCTGGGCTACATAGTAAGACCTGTTTGAACAATCACCCACCCCACAAACCCAGAATTTGCAAAACAAGTGAGTACACACACACACACACACATGCACACACGCATACTATATCTTATGAATTATGAAAGAATTCACCACAGGCTCTTTTTTAAAACAAAATCATTTCCCAGGTATTAATTTGTAATTTTGTTTTTTCTTGTGTTAGAGTGTTTTGTTTTTATTTTATGGTTATGAGTATATTGGCTGCATATAAGTGCACCTGTGCCCTGCAGTGCCCACAGAGGTCAGAAGAGGGTGTCTGATTCCCCTGGAACTGGAGTTACAGGTGGTTGTTGGCCACCATGTGGGTACTGGGAGGTCCTCTGCAAGAGCAGCCACTGCTCTTAACTCCTGAGCCATCTCTCCAGCCTAGTGTTTGTTTTGTTTTGGTTGCAGATTGGAGAATAAACCATGACGACTACTGAACTACACCTCCCAGCCCATCTTTAACATTTTCTTTTGCATCAAGGTCTTGCTGAGTTGCCCTGGCTGACCTCAAGCTTGAAGTCACCCTTCCTTGGCATCTTGGTCAGCTGGGATTATAGGCATGTGCCACTGTGCCCAGCTGACTCATATTTTTTTGTTGTTGTTTTAATTGTATTCTATAAATTTTGAAGGAAAATGATTTTATAAAGTCGTATGCATATGCTAAGTGTGTTTCCATTGGAGGACGTATTTCTCTATATTTTAGGATATGTCAGCATATGTGAAGAAAATCCAGTTTAAATTACATGAGAGCTATGGCAATCCTTTAAGAGGTACAGTACAACCTTTCCATTCATAATTATTAATAAAAGAACCAGTGAACAGCCAGGCATGGTGGTGCATGCCTTTAATCCCAGCACTTGGGAGGCAGTCAGGCGGATCTCTGTGAGCTCAAGGTCAGCCTGGTCTACATAGTGAATTCCAGGCCAGCTGGGGCTACAAAGGGAGACCCTGTCTCAAAAGTCAAAAACGAAACAAAACAAAAAGAACCAGTGAATTAAATCAGTAATTTATACTTGTTTATTTTTCTTTCCTCTCTCTAGTTGTTACTAAGCCTCCATATGAAATTACTGAAACAGGATGGGGTGAATTTGAAATAATCATCAAAATATTTTTCATTGACCCTAATGAAAGACCTGTGAGTAACATTAACATTTGCAAATAGAAAATAGATGATGTTTTTTGGAATGTTATGTATATGAATGTTTAGCTTGCATGTATGTAAGTGCATCCGTGTATGCAGTGCCCATAGAGGCCAGAAGAAGATGTCAGAGCCACTAGAACTGGAGTTATGGATGGTTGTTAACCACCTTGTGGTGCTAGTAACTGAACCCAGGTCCTCTGCAAGAGCAGCTGGTGCTCCTAACTTCTGAGCATCTCTCCAGCCCCATTAAATAGATGCTTTAATAAATGTGAAACTGTAAAATTTACTGAAGAACTACAGTTCATTCAGATGGACTTCCTGTAAATTTATGTCACAGTGTATCTTGCCACAAGTTAAGGGGTTGGATTTGGGGTGTGTCTGTGTGTGTGTGTGTGTGTGTGTGTGTATGTGTGTGTGTATGTAATTTTATTTTATTGTGAGTCTTCCATTCATAGATCTAAAAACACAAGCAGGTCCCTAGCAAGCAATTTGAAAAGTACTATCATACTATCAGCAAAAAAAAAAAAAATAATTAAAATAAAATAAAGCTAACATCTAAAGGGAAAATGAGTGTTGAACAAATACCAGAGCCCTAGTGGTGCAGGCCAGTTAATCTTAGCACCAGGAGGGCTGAGACAACAGAGTTACTTCAAATTCCATGCCTGCATGGGCCACAGACTATCAGAAAAATAAAAACAACAAAAATAAAAAGAAGAAAAAATGAGCATGGTGGAAAATTTCTGTAATCCCAGCACTTGGGAGGTGCAGGTAGGAAAGCCAGAAAGAGTTCAAGGTTCCCCTCTGCAACATATTAAGTTCATAAGTTCATAGCTGGGCTACAGGTGACCTTGCAAAAAAATAAAAAGATCACAGAAAATTATAATTGTCCATCTCCAGGTAACTGGAACATCAGGACAGACAGTGGCAGAAATCACTTAGCTTGACCTCTACAGGGTCTACAGGAAGCCCTCCCTGTAGATTCAGAATCCCTTGGGGCCTGGTTCATTGTCTGCCATGTCATCTCTGTCTTGGTGCCCAGATGTAGAAGTAAATAGCCACAGGTCTGACCTTCAGACCCTTCAGCCCCAGAACCTACTGCTGTGCTAATGACTAGGTGAGGGTTGGCAGGGTTAATGGAAAGGAGCCTGGCTTGCCAGCCTTGTGATTGGCAGCAGTGGGCCATGTTGTTAGCATAGAACACAATGATGAACCAGGTGGAGTGGCAACGGCTGGGCTTAGTAGCTCTTGCTTGAGTATCCGGTACATGCTTGTCAAATTGAATCTGGCAGTCAAGACCTTATAAGCCTTGTAGTCTAGGTACCAGTCCATCTTGAAATGTTTCTCTAGCCAGGCAAAATGGTTCAAGCCTTTAATCCTAGCACTTGGGAGGCACAGGCAAGAGGATTTCCAGGCCTGTCTGGTCCACATAGCCAGTTCCAAGCCCCCCAGGGCTGCATAGTAAGTACCTGTCTCCAAAAGAGAGGGGAGGGGAGGGAAGGGGGGCAGAGGGAAAGGGAGGGAGAAGGAGAAGAGAGAAGGGATGAGCGAGAGGAGAGGGAAAGGGAGGATTCTCTAGCCCCCTTTGGTACTCCCAGTTGTGCCTCTAGACATGGGGATCAGGTGTGTCCGGGAAATCCCAAGAATCTCCCATCTTGGCTCCATGATTCCTGCAAAACAAAGATTTCAAGTTCGTTGGTATCATTTAATAGGTAACAATCAAAAGTGGAATCTGTATACTGTCTGAAATGAATATTTTTTAAAAGATGTACTTATTTTTATTTGTGTGTATGTGTGTGAGTCTGCATGAGTTTCGGTGCACCATGTATGTGCAGGAGCCAACAAAGGGCAGAAGAGGACCTCTCTGAAGTTACAGGGGTTGTAAGCCACCATGTGGATGCTAGGAAATTAACCTGTATCCTCTACAAGAGCAATAAGTGCTCTTAACTGCTGAGCCATCTCTCCAGCCCAAATACTCAGTTTTTAGTGGCTAACTCTTAAGCATTTTTTCAGCAACCATCTGTAGGAAGAGTTTCATTTTATAATGTGTTTGTGAATCCTTATTTATAACCATGGATCTTTTCTATCAAGACATCAAAAACCAAAGGATAATGTGTGTGTGGAGGGGAATCTCCTTCCAACTGTGGCTTTGATTCCTCCTCAACTTTGTCAGGTTAAAGATGGTCATCATCTTAGATGAGGCTATTGAGGCTCAGAGTTCAAATGTTCAGCGCTAGTTTTTGAACCCAGTTAATTGAGTTTATATTTAATAGTCTTCCAGCATTTTTAAAAAATCTTATTATTTTTATTTTATGTGTAAGTTCATGTGTGTAAGTGCACCTGTGTGATGCAATGCCCTCGGAAGTCAGAAGAGGATCTCTGGAACTGGAGTTCCAGATGGCTGTCAAGCTGCCATATGGGTACTAGGAACTGAACCCAGGGTCCGCTGCAAAAGCAGCCAGTGCTGTTAACTGCTGAGCCACCTTTCCAGACCCATATTTTTTCTTTTTACTAAAACCACTATAAAAAATATATATGCCAGCCAGGCATGGTGGTGCACGCCTTTAATCCCAGCACTTGGGAGGCAGAGGCAGGTGGATCTCTGTGAGTTCAAGGCCAGCTACAGGGAGACCCTATCTCAAAAAGACCAAAATATATATATGCCTATAAATAACATCACAGTTCATTTATGGCTCTACCCTTCCATATATATGTGGTTGGGGTTTAACATTTGGCACCATTAATTTTTTTTTTTTGTCTTTTTGAGACAGGGTCTCCCTGTATCCCCACCTGGCCTGGAACTCACTATGTAGACCAGGCTGGCCTCGGATTCAAAGAGATCCGCCTGCCTCTGCCTCCCAGTGCTGGGATTAAAGGCATGCGCCACCATGCCCAGCTGGCACCATTAATTTTTATCTTGTTAGAATCAGCTCATTCTTTACAGCACACATATTTATACTTTAATCAGATTACATTTTTCAATTGTACATGCTTTTGAAAAAAGGAGATTATCAACTGGATCAGTGGTTCAGAGAACCAGTTCCTAACTGGATGCACCAGAAATACCAGGGAGCTTTTAAAAAATTCAAACTCCTGAGCATTATCTCCTGGATGATGGGTAGGTTTTGGAGTGATTATTTTTAATGTACAGTGAAATCTGTGAGCCATTGACACATCTTGCTGCTCCCACATATGAATTCCTTTAGGCAGTCTCTCAGGTGAGAGTCTAACTTGCATATCTCCAATATGAAGGGTTGACTTCTGTCATTAAGACTTCTAGTTTGGGGACTGAAGAGATAGCTCAGTGGTTAAGAGCACTGGCTGCTCTTAACAGAGGATCCAGGTTTGTTTCTCAGCACCCACATGGAGTCTAGCAACTGCCCATAACTCCAGTTGCAGGGGATCTGATGCCCTCTTCTGACCTTTGTGGGCATTCTACGACAAAGGTGCATTTACATACAGGCAGGCAATACACTCATAAAACTAAATTTAAAAAAATTTTTTTTTTAAAGACTTTAGGGGAACTGGAGAGATGGCTCAACGGTTAAGAACACTGGTTGTTCTTGCAGAAGACCCGGGTTCGAATCCCAGCACCCACATAGCAGCTAACAACTGCCCATAACTCCAGTCCCAGGGGATCCAACAGCCTCTTCTGACATTCGTGGGCGTTGCACAACACGGGTGTACTTACCTACATGCAGGCAATACACGCATACGCATAAAATAAAAATAATAAATTAAAATAAAAATTAAAAAACAGGTCTTGCTGATACTTGGGAGCTAGAGAGATGACTCAGCAGTTCAGAGCACTGGATGCTCTTAGAGGACCAAAGTTTGATTTCCAGCACCCACATTGAACCTTCACAACCACCTGTAATTCTAGTTCTAGGGGATCCAACACCCTGTTCTGGCCTCTGAGGGCATCCACATGTATATGCACATGCCCACAATACAGACACATATATTCTTTTTGAAAAGAAGAAGAAAGTTGGGCATGGTAGGGCATAGTAGTATATAGATTTAGTCCCAGCACTTGAGAGACAGAGGCAGGCAGATCTCTGTAAGTTCAAGGCTAGCCTGGGGTACATAATAAGACCTTGTCCAAAAAAAGAAAAAAAGAATGCTATGCTTTATATTATACTTCTTTTAACTTTTACTGATAACTCTTCATACATTAGTTTTCTACTTAATAAACATAGCCATTTTTTTATTGAGCTTTTTAAATTTTAAACATTTTCCACTCAAATCCAGACACCGTCCCCCAAACATCCCTCCCTTTATCCCCCCACCAAACACTATGCACCCTGCCATACATGCTGAGTCTTATTCATTCAGGTGTCTGTACCCAAGTGTCCTTCAGTAAAAATATGTCCACTGGCGTCTAGTCAGCCCATCCAGTGGTCGTATGTAAGTTATACTCTCCCTCACCCAGCAGCCATCAGCCTCAAATAGTTCTCAGTCTGGTGCTGGCCCACCACCTTGGGCCTTTGTTTAATTGAATTGATGTGGATCCCACGTTCAATGCCACCACTGCCACAGGCTCACATGCACAAGCCTCCAGTGGCCTGGAAGCTTCCACCACCATATGTTCATGAACCAACCTGGCTCTTACAATCTTTCCACCTCTTCTTCCACAGTGGCCCCTGAGCTATGGGTGGGTGAGGATCCATATAGGAGTCCCATCCTACTTTCTTATTCTCCAAAACTTGGCCAGTTGTGGCATTCTGTGTACATCACACTCTGATGTACATGGAAGCCTCACTGGTGAAAGTTGAGGGGTGCATTAGTCCTCTCTCTACCCCTTATTCCACTATGTTCCATGAACCTTAGTTATAGAGATTCGACTGCAGGTAAGTCACCTAGTACTAGGCATCTCCCAGAGTATGTTCTCTGTGCCTGACCAGATGTGCAACTCTGAAGTAGCCTCCATCTGTTGCAAGAAGAAGCTTTGATGAGTGCTGTCACTCTAAGGGAGGTCTCTTCTTGTCTGACACTGTATTCCCTGCCAAGCAGCCCCCAGGTATACATATGCATTAATGTTCAGACACTCTATATGCATTCCTCATAGGGTTTCTAGGGCATCACTTTCCCTCTGTTTCCTAGCCCCCCAAGATTTCACTCATCTTTTTCTCCCATCTGGCTTCCCTCCTCACTCCCTCCCTAGCCACAGTGCCCCCATTATCCCAGCCCTTCCTCCAATATCTCCCAACTCCCACCATCTCTCCCTTTCCTAACTTCCCTCCCTTCCGCACACCATGGTCCCTTGCATGTCCCTCCCTCCTTTCCTCCCTGCTGATTACTCCCACTTCTTCCACCTCCCTCAGGTAATATCTGTTCCCTACTATCCCCTTCAGGTTATTTCTTTTCCTTTACCTCCATGTATCCTTTGCCTTTACCTGGCTCCTGGCATTACGTCAGAATTTATATACTCACATATAAGGGATTAGTGCTACAATCCACAAATGAGGGAGAGTATATGTCGCTTGATTTTCTGCATTTGTGTTACTTCACTTAGTATAACACTGTGTAGTTCCATCCACTTACCTGCAAATTTCATAATTTCTTCTTTTCTTACTGCTGAGTAGAACTCCATTGAGTAGATGTACCACATTTTCATTAACCATTCGTCAGTTGAGGGACATTTAGGTTGTTTCCATTTCTTGGCTATTGTGAAGAAAGCAGCAACAAACATGGATGTACAGGTATCTCTACAGTATGATGAGTCCTTTGGGTATGTGCCAAGGTGTGGTATCACTGGATCATATGGTAGGTTCATTTTTAGTTTTCTGAGGGTTCTCCACACTGCTTTCCATAGTGGTTGCATGAGTTTGCATTCCCACCAGCATTCTCTTTATATTTTCTCCAGCATTTGCAGTGTTTCATTCTCCTGATCTTTGCCAATCTGTCTGGGGTATATGAAATCTTAAAGTGGTTTTTATCTGCATTTCTCTAATTAGTAAGGATATTGAGCACTTTTTAAGGTCCTTCTTAGCCATTTTTATTTCTTCATTTGAGAACTCTATTTAGGTCTATCACCCATCTTTTTATTGGGTCATTTCCTTTCTTCTTTCTTTTTGAGTTCTTTGTATATTCTAGATATTAATCTTCTGTTGGATGTGTAGGTGGTAAAGATTTTCTCCCACTCAGTGGGTTTCCTCTTCCCTTCCTTAGTTATTTCTTTGTCTGTACAGAAACTTTGTAATTTAATGAGGTCCCACTTACTGATTGTTGACCTTAGTGCCTGAGCAGCTGGTGTCTGATTTAAGAAAGTTCTTTCCTACACCTATATCTTAGAGGGTGCTACCTGTGTTTTCTTCTAGCAATTTCCGAGTTTCAGGTTTTATATTGCAGTCTTTGATCCATTTGGAATTGACTTTTGTGCAGGTTGAAAGATAAGGGTTAAGTTTCATTTTTCTGCAAGTGGAGATCCAGTTTTGCCAGCACCACTTGTTATGCTGCCTTTCCTCCATTTTTTTGGTCTTTTTGAAACAAGGTCTCCTGGTATGCCCAGCTGGCCTAGAACATGCTATGTAGACTAGGCTGGCCTTGATCTCACAGAGACCCCACCCACTTCCATGTGCCGGGATTAAAGGCATGCACTACGTACACCTGGCAACATTTAAATACTTTTCATGTTGATAGTTTCCCTGTCTACCATTCATGCTGTCATCCTAATTGGACATACTCTGTTTGGTCAGATTATGAAATATCCATTGTTTGTGAGGCTGAAGAGATGGTCATCAAGCCTGCCTGAGCGTAAGCGCCTTTGCTTCCTGAACCTTCTCACCAACCTGCTTGCTTGTTTTTTTGTTTTGTTTTGTTTTTGTTTTAAGACAGGATCTTACCATGTAGCCTTGATTGGCTACACTAATGTAACCCCAGACTAGATTCAAACTCAGTCCTCCTGCTTCAGCCTCCCACATGCTGGGATTATAGGCATGCACTGCTACGCCTTATTACCATAGTTTTCTTGACTATGATACTTTCCAGTCCTCAACTTGAAGCCTTTTAAGGTCCTAGGAACTGTGGCTCCCACTTTTGATGCAGTTTTCTTCCTTATGTTTTTCAGGTTGTATTTTTTTTCTGTTATTTTTTCTATTCCAGAAATTTATCAAATTGTACACCTTAAATATGTAATATATAATTCATACTCTTTCATTCTTAAGATTTCTTTACTATTATTTTAGTGGGATTCTGGGCATTTGCCTTCTTCCTTTTCTGTACCCCCAACCCATGCTGACACTTAGACCCAGGGCCTTGTGCCTGCTGCTAGGCAAGTGTTCTACTACTGAACTATAGCTCTCCCTCCTCCTTCCTCCCATGTTCTCACTGCACCGTGTTGAACTTGGAAAACATCCTTTAAAAGTAGGATATTTCCACTGAAGTGGAAGTAAGACATTTCTGTAAGATGAGCTCATTTGTTTAAATTCATTTGCAAACATTTGTATATTTTCTTACTTTTTCAGATACTGTCATATTTTGTGACTGTTTGAAAGAATCATGTTTCCTTATAACAATTTTAGTTAATCTTTTGGAAAATTCTTTGAGGCCTCAGAATTGGTTTGCACAGCTTCAGCATGAGCTGTATGTTTTGCCAGCTGTGTTTTACTCTGTTGAAGTAGTGGCAGGTTGTGCTGCGAAGCTTTTCCTTTGATGTTGTCCTACACCGGTTTTTAAGTGTTTGGAAACAAGTTGTTCTTGCCAAAGTGAATTATCACGGACAAGATGTTTATTATTTTGTGTATGTAGTAATTTTTTGACCCATAGTAGAGTAGCTTGCCCTCACTGAAGATTTTAGTACTGATTATTCTTTTAGATAATATTTTTTTGAGGGTTTTTGTTTAGTTTTCAGTTTTTTTTTTTTTTTTTAATGTGTATGAGTGATTTGCCTGCATGTATGTAAGTGTACCTGTGCATGCAATGCCTGCAGTAACCAGAAAAGGACATCATATTCTCCTGGAGCTAGAGTTATGGAAGGCTGTTAGCTGCCATGTGGGTACTGGGACGTCCCTCTGCAAGAGCACCCAATGCTCTTAACCACTGAGCCCTTTCTCCAGACCCCTTGGTTGGTTGGTTGGCTGGTTGGTTGGTTTTTTAGATAGGGTCTCTTTAGCCCAGGCTCCTGACCTTGAATTTTGAACAGTCCTCCTATCTCAGCCTCTCCTGTGTTAGGATTACTTGAGTGTACTACCATGCCTAGCATCAAACCTTTTTTCCCAGTAAATTTGTAAACTTTAACCTTCACAGACAGGTGTTAACAATTACTCCAGTTTCACTTGTATAAACAAAACAGTTCATGTCTTAGTGATTTTCCAGACTTAATTTCCATAGCTTTATCTTGTGTAGTTTTGGGGTATAGTTGTTCTTAGAGAAATGTTTAGATAGATCCTCCTCTGACTTCGGTAGAATGTTCCTGTTAAGTAGATAGGGATAGATGGTGTATCTTTTTAAGAAAGTTACACAGAGTTTGGGTGATTTGCAACATAAGTTGCAATTGAAGCAAGGTCCAGAATTGGATATGTTTACTAATTCCATTCCCTACTTTAGTTAAAGAAATGACAGTGTCATGGCAGCGCATGCTTGTGATCCTAGCACTTGAGAAGTGGAGGTAGGAGGATCAGGAGTTCAAGTCCTTAGTTTCTGCTACATAGCGAGGCCAGCCTGGGATACATAGTGAGATCTGTCTCAAAAAAAATTTTTCTTCAAGAAAAAATGAAGCAGGGCAGAGATGGGAGGAAAGAAGGATCTCATGATAATGCTAACTGTTGTACAGATGAGACCTCCGTTTTTATTTCACAGGTAACACTCTATCATTTACTAAAGCTCTTCCAATCTGACACCAATGCAATGTTGGGGAAAAAGACAGTGGTTTCAGAGTTCTATGATGAAATGGTAAGATTTTTGTGAGTGGAGGTTGTTTTTTTTTTTTTAACACCTGTTTATTGCATGTGTATGTGTGTGTGTGTGTGTGTGTGTGTGTGTAGCTGCTCTTATGACACCGTGCTCATGTGGAGATCAAAGGACAACCTGTGGGATTTGGTTTTCTCCTTCCACCATGTGGGTCCCAGGGATGGAACTCGGGTCATGAGGCTTGCATCTTTACCTGCTGAGCAGTCTCACTGGTTCATAGAGTAAGAGCTCTGAAAGCATATTAAGTTGGAGAACTTTAAAATTATTCAACTTTTTAAAAAAATTCTATCCCTTAAGATATTTCAAGACCCAACAGCAATGATGCAGCAACTGTTAACAACATCTCGTCAGCTGACATTAGGAGCCTATAAGCATGAAACAGAATGTAAGTGCTTTGATCCTTCGTTAGTCTTGAAAAGTAGTATGATTCTGTAATGGTGAAAGAATTAGTGACTTTTTTTTCTAGCATAGGTAAATTCTTAGGAATTAACAAACAGGATATATGTTGCTATCAGTGCCAACAATGAGCAAAATACTCATTAGTATTTACTGTGTGTTTTTACTTAATCCTCATAAATCCTTTGAGAAATACCAAGTTTTAACACTGTCATGTGTAGTAATTGGGGGAGACTTGGAAATAACTGCATCTATATAATAAGGGATCAAGGATGCATTTGAACTCAGGTCTTTCTGATTGCAAAGCTACGTTTGTTTGTTTGTTTGTTTGTTTGTTTTCACTATACCTTCTTGCTGCTAATTGATGACTGAGATGTGTGAGAGAACACCCCTAGGTGCAGCAGCAGCATCAATTACCTAAGGTGGCCACAAGATGGAGATGTTGGATGCAGGCAGGAATTTTTGTAACTGCACTAGCCAACTGGCACATTTAAGCAGATAAATTCTATTAAGTAGTTTTGTAATGTATCCAGCTAGAATTTTTGTTTTATTTTGTTTTCGTATTTCTGGGGATTGAACCCAGAACCTCACATATGTTAGGCAAGTACTGTACCATGGAGCTATACCACCAGTCCCTAGAATTTTTCAAATATTAATGTTCTTTTCTCAACATAAACAATCATAATAATAGTTGATGAGGTGTTTTATGTATCAGGCAGTATTCTAGGTACTTTCTGTACATTAGTTCATTTAAAATCTTCTGGACAGGGATTGGGGGAGATGACTCATTCTGTAAAGTGCTTACTTACATACATGAGGACCTGAGTTTAGATCCCCAGCACCTATGTAAAAAAACCAGATACAGTGATTTGCCCTTGTAATCCTAGTGCTGGGGAGGCAGAGACAGGAAGGTTACTGGGGTTTACTGGCCAGCTAGTTGCCCAATCAATGAGCTCCAAGTTCAGTGAGAGATTCTGTCTCAATAAATAAGGTGGCATACTGGAGAAATGATGTAGCCGTGAAAGGCTAACAAACCAAAACATCAAAAGATAAGGTGGAGAGTGATAGAGGAAAACACTTGACATTGACCTCTGACCTCCACAGAACACACAAGTATACACATACATGTATACAAAATCTTCTAAATAAATATTTATGAGGTCTGTGCCATTGTAGCTTATGGTTCATAAATGAGAAAATGAATGTAGAAATTGAAATAACTTGATATCATAGCTAATAAATATTAGAACTACAATTCAAATTTAGACAGCTTTGCTTGGGGGGGGGTCTTTTTGAGACAGGGTCTCCCTGTAGCCCCAGCTGGCCTAGAACTCACAAAGATCTGCCTGTCTCTGCCTCCCAAGTGCTGGGATTCAAAGGCGTGCACCACAATGCCCAGCTTGCTACCATTTATGGAAAAAGATACAGTCTTATTTTGGTAATGTGATTTTATTTATTATGTAAATTGCACATGTACATATTTAAGAATACTTTCAGCTGGCTCACTGGCATCTGTTGGGTGTATGTGCCCCCTTATTTCCAAAGTAATATGTATATAGAGAAAAAGAAATAATGTCTCAAAACTTTAACTGTAAGTGGCTACAGTTTCATCCTGCAGAAAGCAAGTTAAAGCTTGTGTTGGGAATTGAGACTTTCATACCTTCTCTAACACACCAGAGTTTAATGTTCTATATCTTAAGTTGTTCAATTTCATCATGGAAACACCACCCAGGGAAATGCTGTGTTCCTTGCTCTGTGACACATCTTAAACATTGTGAGGAAAGAATTACTCAGTACAAGTATTTTCTTCCATAGTTGCAGAACTTGAAGTGAAAACCAGAGAAAAATTAGAAGCTGCCAAGAAAAAAACAAGCTTTGAAATTGCAGAGCTTAAGGAGAGATTAAAAGCAAGTCGTGAAACTATAAATTGTTTAAAAAATGAAATCAGAAAACTTGAAGAAGATGATCAGACAAAAGACATATAAGCAGCTAGTCGCAAGTTAAACAAAGTAGGGTGGACTCTGATGGAGAAACGGACTCAATGTAATTCTGTGATGTTTCTTGGAAGAACTACAGGTATATTTGGCCAGCCATGGATTTCACAGAGGTGAAGTCCAAGTTCACGATATTCGAACAGTCTTTATTGGGAAATAATATGTGTGTACTGAGAGTTGATGCTGCATAGCATTCCATAATGTTAAGCACAATTTTTAAAGTTTTTTTTTTTTTTTTGGAATATATATGTAGTTATTTTCCTTTAGGCAGGCATCAGAATTTCATTATAAAGTATAACCTGTACAAATTTTGTACTTCTCTACTAGTGAGAATTAGTAACTAGTGTGTATATTTAATTCTTCAAGTTTTTGTTATCTGCCCCTTCTGCCTCTTTTGTATATGATGTACCAGTAAGTATTCAATAAACGTGCTTTTCTGCTCCCATGTCTGCCTTTTGTGTTTTCTTTGAAGACTTTTTGAAGCTCCCTCAATACAAATTAACATTTCCCACAGTATTGCCATCTCATAGCTTTTTCCTTTTTCAGACAAGGTATCAACTATGTAGCACTGGCTGGCCTTGACTCAGAGATCCACTAACCTCTCTCTGAGATTACAGACATGTACCCCTATGCCTGACTCTGATTGCACATCTTTTGTTTTTTTGGGGTTTTTTGTTTGTTTGTTTGTTTGTTTGTTTTTGGTCTTTTTGAAACAGGGTTTCCCTGTAGCCCCAGCTGGCCTGGAGCTCACTATGTAGACCAGGCTGGCCTTGAACTCACAGAGGTCTGCCTGCCTCTGCCTCCCAAGTACTGGAACTACAGACGTGTGCCACCACGCCCGGCTGATCGCACATCTTTATTCAAGAAATTCTTCATTTGTTTTTAAATTACATCACTTAGAAATATTATGAACGTTGTACAAAGGTTTCTATAGTATGAAATTTCAGGGTCTTGGGGTTGGCATTGTGTTGTGAAAGGTATCATTCAGACTTCCCCCACCTCTTTGCCTAGTGCATACTAGGCCCATGAGGGCAAGATTCCTCAAATATATATAGCCTGGATATTGATCAGAAAAATTAATGAGGAGAAACTTTCATTCTGCTCGAGAAACCTTCATGCTCACATTCCTTTGTTCATAAAACCAAGTCCATGTAACAGATCTTACTGTATGCATACGTAAAGGGTTTATAATGTATTATCAGCTCTCAGTCTTGCCCCTATCAGCTCTGTATTATCAGCTCTCAGTCTTGCCCCTATCAGCTCTTACTACTATGTTGGCTGTGCTCTTGGAAGTGTCTTCCTATGAAGTTATGAAGAGCTCCTATAGGTCACTGATTAAAAGACCACTCTTAAAGCTGAGCAAAAGATTTTAAATAGACTTTCCCTAAAGAAGATAAGGAAATGGCCAGTGAACACATAAGGTGCTCAGCATCACTGGTTAGGAAAATGTAAATCAGAACCACACTGAAACATAATTTTACACCCACTAGGAGGGCTATAAATTTAAACAAATACAAAAAAGTGGATGAGAATGTAGAAAAATTGCAACCTTCATACATTACTACAGGGAATATAAAATGGCCTAGCCACCTTGCGAAAAGTTTGGCAATTCGTTAAAAAGTAAGCACATTCTGGCAAGATGTCTCAGTGTTAACCATAAAGGCACCTGCCACCTAGTCTGACAACCTGAGTTCTATCCCCAGGACCCATGTGGTAGAAGGAAAGAACTTTTACAAGTTGTCCTCTGGCAACTGGCACATGCACATTCCCTTTCCTAACACACAAATAAAACCAAAAATCTAAAAGTAGGAGCTAGAGAGTGGCTCAGCAGTTAAGAGCACTTGCTCTGCTTCCCAAAAGACCAGGGCTCAATTCCCAGCACCCACACAGTGGCTCACAACTACCTATAACTCCAGCTCCAAGGGATTCAATACCCTCTTCTGGCCTCTGCAGGCACCAGGCATGGACATGGAATAAATACATACCTGCAAGCACTCACATAAAAATAAGTACTAAAAAAAAAAAAAAAAAAAGCTAAGGGACTAAGGGTGTTGGACAAATGGCTCAGTGGTTTAGAGCACTGGCTGGGTTTGGTTCCCAGCATCCATATGGCAGCTGATAATGGTCCTTAACTCCATTTCCAAGGGATCTGATGCCCTCTTCTCACCTCCGTGGGTATTTCATAACATGGGTGTACTTATACATGGAGGGCAAATCCCTCATACACATAAAATAAATGAATAGAAAAAAAATTTTTTTGAGACAGGATCTTCCTGTATCCCCAGCTGGCCTGGAATTCACTATGTAGACTAGGCTGGCCTCAGTCTCAGAGATCCTCCTGCCACACTGCCTCCCAAGCGCTGGGGTTAAAGGCATGCTCCACCATGCCCAGCCTGAAAAAATATATTTTAACTGCAGAATTATATACAGTAGCACAGTGGAATCCTTTGTATCAAAATGAATAAAGCACAGCTGGAGAAATGGCCCACTGGTTAAGAGCACTGGCTGCTCTTGCAGAGAACCCGGGTTCGATTCCCAGCACTTACATGATGGCTAGCCACTGTCCTTTAATTCCAGTTCAAGGGGAATCCAACAACCTCTTCTGACCTCCAAGGGCTTTTCATGATACTGTTATTGGGTGCATTTACATGCAGGCAATAACACTCATACACATAAAAATAGTAAAAAAAAATTTTTAATGAATAAAGTATATTTCTATACCCTGTCATGAAAATTGACAGGGTATATTGTCTAGATTATGCTGGTTACTAAGAAAGAAACTGTTTAGAATCCTACTTTTGTGAATGGTACTAGAGTATTCAGAGCAAAGACATTTTTACCAGTCTTTAACAGAAAGTCATGGGGACTGGCTACATTAGATGACTAAATGTTTGGTTTTTTCAGCAGTAAGAATGCATTTCATTTGAGTGGAAGAAGAAAAAGTAGTTGAAAAATTACATGAAGAAAAAGATGTCCCCACAATTAGCACATTGCCTCCTATGAACCAGCTCCTGTGAGCATAATGCAATGTCGTGTGACAGTTCAGAGACAGGAAGCATGGCCTGGAAACCATAGGAAGGACTGAGGAGCCAAGCTTCTTCTGGGACTTTACTGCAACTAATGGTAAAGTCTTTGCCTTTCAGTGCAACGTCCAGTGAACTAGAATAAATGTCACTGGGATCCTAATGTAAAAGTAGGAAGTTAAAGGTTGAAGGGGAGGAGTTTATTATTTGTGTGTGTGTGTGTGTGTGTGTGTGTGTGTGTGTGTGTGTGCAGATTCGTGCATGCATGCCACAGCTCACCCGTGTAGAGGTCAAGGACAACTTTCTAAAGTTGGTCCTCAGCTTCCACTTTGTTGAGGCAGGGTCTCCTGTTTCAGCATACTCCAGGACAGCTGGCCCCTGAGCTTCCAGGTGATTTTCCTTTCTCTGCCTTCCATCTCACCGTAGGAGTGCTGGGATTGCAGAGATGCACCATCACATCCAGCTTTTTATATGGGCTCTAGGAACTGAATCCAGATCATCAAGTTTGTGTGGTTAGTCACTTTACCTGCTGAGCCATCTCCCTGGCCCCAGGTCTGATTTTATCTATCTCTGCTCTGGGCTGGACTTTCTGGTTTGGCTTTTTAAATTATTTGTAGCTATTTTTAATTAAATGTTCATTAGCATCCTAAATCCCAGTAACCTTATGTAGTATTCCTCATGCAGATTCCCAACTCCAAGGAGCCCTCACCCATCCCACTGCATTTCTTTACTCTGGGACTTTCACTGACTAGTTACCCTGGGTTAGCTGTTCTCCACCCTCAGCAAAGCTTCATTGCTCTTTAAAAGTTCCTTCATGAATGCCTCATCATTGCAGTTTGAAAATTTACAGTCAACTGCATCAACATTTCTTTTATCCACTAAATGAGTACATTAATAAAGCTGAAATTGAGCGTAGGGAATATCTAATTCAATTCATATTCCATAATCAAATAAAGTTTTGAAGAAATTAAACTTTCAAAGTCATGTAATCTGTTGGGGCAGGTGTAGAGTTTGAATTCAGCATTCCCTGAGTAGCCATGGACACCCAAGTGTCCATGTGTACAGCTCCATCAAGCCTCTGAGAAGAATGTGTGAACTAGAAATCAACTTGAAAATTCGCTTTCAAGGAAATAAAAATTCTTACCCATACTAGGTTTAGTTGGGTGCATAAATTAAAAACACAGGTCTAATTCTCTTTTTTTTTTTTTTGGTCTTTTTTTTGAATATTTTATCTATTATTTTTATTTTATGTGTATGAGTATATTGCCTGTATGTATGTGAGTGCACCCGTGTTGTGCAATGCCACGGAGGTCAGAAGAGGGCTTCGGATTCCCCTGGAA